TATACGATGTAAAACTTGGCTACAATTCTAAAACAAGTTTGCAAAACATTTTGTATATGCATAATTTCCTTTCACGTTATCTTTTAAATGAAACCATGTGAGAATTTTAGTGAAAAGGGAAATGTCTTTAGTGGAACTGCTAACAAAGCACAAAAAAGTCACAAAGAAAAAAGGTTGGGAACCGCTAGTTAGATAAAGACCAATGCATTGTATTTCAGAAGCTTAAGATATGATTTTAAATGTGTTATATTAATTTAAAGTTTATATTCTTACCTGTGACATCAAAGCAGACCGACCCGAGGCGGTTATTACAATCATAATCATGCCATGTTCCACCAGAATGAACAAATGTGCATTGTTCAATTGGCCAGTTGTCTGGTTGATTAGTCCCCCATCGTCTGAACTCGATCTCCCCCGGTCCGTAGAAGCTTGGGTCTGACATCGACCACCTCCAGGTGTTCCGGTCATCGTGCAGCCCTATCCAGGCTGACTGAAAGCAAGACATTGTTATAATGATTACATCCTGTTGAAGCTTTTAAAGCTGCTGCTGAAGAAAATGTGTATGTTTAATAAAGAGAAGGTTTGCCTTCATGAGACCAGCCTTGGTACGTGGTGATCTAAAGGGAATCCCCTCAAGCCAACATTCATTTACAGCCTTGTTACTCTGAACCTCTTCCACTTTATTACAGGGTTTCATGCTATAGCTTTGGCTTAAAACATGTTCAACTCTGTTTTAATACTCAGGTTCCCATAGGACTTTAAAACAGGTTTAGCTTTCTGTAATAATCTCTCCTTTTTAAATTTAACTCTAAAATAAATGTAATTCATTTGAATCGAAAGACAGAGAAAAGTGACCTCACTTGTTTGTGTTGGCCTGCCATGTCGTTCAGGAGCTTCACAACCTCCATGCTGTCTACAGTGGTCAGGTCTGTGTGTTTCTCTCTGCAGTATCTCTGTGCTTCAGACATGGTCTTTGCTTCAGAAACAAAATGGTACTGACGTTCAGCATGTGAGGAGACAGCGCTCAGCCCTGCAGAGACACAGACACTTTGATTAGATTCAATATCAATTACTGAACCAACTTCTCCAAATTACATTAAAGTTAAACTGTAAATTAAATAACTTAAGTAATTGTCAGAGGGAAACCAAAATAGAAAGTACTAAAAATTGCCAATGGGAAAATATATTTTATACACAAATAATAATTACCTGAAAGGGCGATGATGATCAGAAGAACTGTTTCCATCCTTGTCTCTTCCCTGTTCTTCTCTTTTGGACAGAGACTGCAGATGTGCAGCTTTTTATATTATACATTAGGTTAAACATTAACTAACATTATGCGTTAGTTAGCTGCACTTTCCACTTAATGCAAAGTGGATATGGAACAACAGTTCATTATATCAGGCCTATTTACTTACATGCATTTACAAGGAAAGACCAATAGAGAAATATGGGCGTAGGTCTGGTGATACACAGCAGGAAAACCAAATTACAACTGTTTTTCAATACAGCCACCACGAAAATGTCCTTCAGCGGCCGGCGCACTTCCTGGGGTCTTGGGAAGGTTCCTAACGGAGTGAAATGACTCAGAAGTTCCTCAGTGTCAGACGTGATAAGAGCTGATCAGATTCTGATGATAGGAAAAGAGCTTCAGTGCTTCCTTTATAATCTCCTTTAGTTGAGGATACACTCGACCACCCTTTTACAAATGAAAGGAGAAAATGTTGTATATATTTTAATACTGTTGTTCATGTTTATAAATCATCAGCACAAAGAGCAAAGTATCTACATGCGCTTATAGTAATCTACTGTTTCCTCATGGCAGACGCACATCAATAACATCCGCTGGCCAATCATTAACAGCCTAATGTAAGTGCAGTCAGATTCTCTTTGCACCGCAGTTGTCTATTCCTGAGTCCTGATGTATTCTGCATTTTCTCTTAACCCAATGATGTTTAACTCAGAAGTTAAGGAATAGTGGTTTGGAAAAGACGATAGGATAATTTTTTGAAATTGAACCGCAACCTGTGTTCAAAAAGGTCATCAATGCAACTTGTTAGAAAAATATCACTCGTCACCGGCTTGAGCTTCAATCTCAGGATCCATGTATTTATGATCCTCTCCAGAATGGAAGTAGTCATCACATACAGAGCATTTAGTTCAACTAGTTCCTGAACAGTGTCCTTCACACGCTGATATACAAGAGAGGGAGTTACACAGTCACAAGATACATGTATACCGGTTTAAAGCAGTATTCAATGCTTCGTTCAGATTAGCCAAGACCCACGTAATCAATAAACATGACAGTCATATGTCTCTCTCCATAGAGGCTGAATCATCATGTTAATCACAGAGCTTTCATATGCCTAAAACAGTCCTGATGCTCTTCTAGGTAATCAGACATCCTGTCATGTACACAGCTACGGTAGGGTCTTTCATGTGCTAAAGGCAAGGATCACATATGCATATTCAAAGATCTGTGGCCTTACTTCCTGCAGACTCTTCCAACAAATTCATCAGTCCATCTTTGTTCCCCTTTTCGTCCTTTGCATACAGCTGATACTGCACGTGTGTTTCAAAGTTTATGTGGGTGTCATCGTAAAAGCAGTGTGTTTGTTTTACATGTTCAAATGTTTGCATGTAGGCCAGTTTCTTGACCAAGGCTCCATTGGATGACACGTTTTCCATTCTCAATGGGACTTGAATAATTGTTTAATAATAATACATTTAAAAAACATTGCGTGAGGACATTGAAAAATAACTCAACTTAACTCAAACAATCAGAATCAGAATCAGAATACCTCTGTTCGTCCCACAGAGGGGAAATGTGTATTTGTTACAGCAAGAAAAGAGCCAAAGACAGATTAATGTTAACAAGAAGCATGCATAACAAATATTAAAGATACAAAAATTACACAATTTACAAAACACACATCCTGTAACAGTTATGAGAGATATAGAAGCAAGGTATATATTGCTCATAATTGGTATTGCACAACAAGGGGTGTTATAGTCTTTGTTGTTATATGTGTGGGGGTCTACCAGGGACCATGAGGGTTATACAGTCTGCCCGCTGCAGGAAGGAAGGAGCTGTGAATATCTCTCAGTGAGACATTGAGCACAAAGCTGGCCTTCCTTACCAGTCTGTTCAGTCCCTTCCTGTCAGCAGCCGAGATGCTGCAGCCCCAGCAGACCACACCATAGAAAATGGCTGATGCGACAACAGAGTCATAAAATGTCTGTAGGAGTGCCCCCTGCACCCAGAAAGACCTCCGTCTCCTCAGCAGAAAGAGTCTGCTCTGTCCCTTCTTGTACAGAGCAGCAGAATTATCAGTCCAGCCCAGTTTATTGTTCAGATGAACACCCAGGTATTTGTAGGATTTCACAATCTCAATGTCCGCTCCCTGGATTGTCACTGGTGTGGGGGGTGTTGGGGAACATTTTCCTAGGCCCATCACTTTGACCAAGTTTATCAGTTTGATCTCACTGAGCACAGGCCTGCAACCTTGGGCTGCTGTGCTCTCAACGTTTTGTCTCCCTGTTCCTGCCTGTTGGCGTCAGCTGATAGCAGAGATGGAGTAGTCGACTCTGACTCGAGTGCCGATTTTCGGGACTCGACTCGCGTACTGATTGACGCAGACTCGAACTCGGACTGGTGATTTCTCGTGCACGATGACTCGGACTCGACTTGTACATTGACGCTCCAACTTGGACTTGGATTTGAGCATGTTTTGTCTCGAGTCAGATGTACTCCGTCCTGGCGTGTGCACCTGCGAGGCGAGTTCACGTACTGCGCCCTGCCACAGAGAGCCGGAGCCCCTCCCTTTCCGGTGGACCACCATGGGACCTTATTTCGGAAAAAATATGTATTGAAGTTAATGGCGAGAGAGAAATTATCTTTTGATCCCGTTTGAATTGTGCCATGAATTACACATATGATGTTTGTCAATTGAAAAGATAATTTTGCAAGTCAAGAAAAAAAAGGTTTGTGGTAAAACTGTGAAGTAACACTTATTTTTGTGTGAAACAGCTCAATGAACTACATCTCTGGTCTCACACAACACACGTCACCAAGATGGCCGTCACCTTAGCACATTTCACCTCTTTCTTTCAGAATGAGGCGAAAAGTATTAAAAGTCTGGACATGTTGAGAGCTGCAAATACACAAAAGGGGAGTTAGTCGAGACCTCTCCAACTGCTACTTGGAGAGGTCTCACCTCCTTGGCCGTGGTGCCCTTGAGCAAGCCACCGGACACAGGAGATATGAAAGTGATTGTATGAGACTTGAAAAGTGAACTAAGACATGTAAAAGTGGAGCAGAAGTTCAAAATGAAGCTGGACCTGCTGTAAAGTATAGAAAGAAGTCAAAGCAAATACCTATTTCAAAGATTTTACATTTTCTCTTACTTTCCCTGAAAATGTTTGAAATTCCTTGAAATCAAATATGTTCTGACTTTTCTAAAGCACAAACTTAACAGGGGAATATTTAACTTTAAAACAAACTATCAGTAAGTCCATTAAATAAAATAAAATGTTGTGGTAAAAGTCCCTGGATGATATCAGCTCCTCCTTTATCATCTGCAACAAAGTGATGAGCACATTAAGGTATCAATCCTGTAACATATATTATTATAATCTTTATATTTTATCCGAAATGGGCCATCCTGCATATTATGTACTTACTTTATTTATATTATATCGAATATTTTAGGACACTAAAAAAAAAAGTTTATAATTTGGTGTTCGGGTCTGGGGAGACAGCAGAATTGTTTTGGGTGACTCAAGGTCAAATTTGGCCCAAATCAAGATTCATCTTTGACTTTTGACTCCATAGAAACTCTCTATGGAGGGAAAACAAGGATTGTATCCTTTGCAGACCATTTACATGCACTAAGACCTTTATAACACACTACAGGAAAGGTAAAACCCTAAAAAGCAGAATAAGGCCCCTTTAAGAATTAGGACGAGTTGTAAATATTGTAACAATAAAAGCCAACAGGTTTCAAGTAATGACAACATTTTATTTCAAAATAAAAAAAAACTTCACTGAATATTAAAAAACACATACAAACTCAAGTACAATAAAAGTCTTACAATTTCCTCACATACTCCAAATATTTACAGAGAAAAGTATTAGGAAATATTACCTCTGATATAATAAGTTGACTTATTAGCCATTTGGAAAATCCAAACAGTTGCATAATGTGTTATTAAAATTCAATATACAGTATTTACAATCATTAAGCTAGTTTAAAAACCGCAACTGCTGTATCATCCATCCTGAATATATTATGTTATTTTATCTTATATTGCATTACAATTATTATATTTATAATAAAGGAAGCAGACCAATACAGGATGGGACATTTGTTATCTTGAGAAAAAGCCATTACATTGGAAAAACGCTATACGATATCACAAGGTCTGATATCTTCAGAAACAAGGTAAATACATTGGGTTTTCAAAATAAAAATGAGCACCCCAATAATAATAATCTATCTTGATATAAAAATACAATAATGTGTCACTCAATTTTCTTTTTCTCGAGGCTTGTCTGTTACCTTTACTTGTCATATGACACACTAAACCAGAGGAACGACTACTACATCTACAAAGAAATCTGTGTTACTTCTAACCACTGTTAAAAGAAACCAGATCCCTCTTTATAATCAGAGCATTGATTTGCAGGTGACTTTGGATTTAAAAAAAGGCTTTTTTAATCAGTTACACCTCAAGACTGAAGCAGACGATCACAGAGCAGACAGGCAGTACTGCACGATAGCTGAGACGCTGATGAGGATCAGGAGGGGGATGGCCTGGAGGAGAGAGGCGGAGCTCTTTAGTCTCACCTCCACAGGTAAGTGGTCGCTCACATCCAGCGCCTGGCAGACAGAAGCAACAGAACACAGAGTTAAAAAAACAAAACACTATGGCTCTATTCCAAACCACTACACACTACCCCTCCGTTTGCGTGTTCTCGCGGAGGGTCCACCACATTAAGTGCTGTTCCAAACCAACGAGTGTGGAGGGGGAGTGGGTTATCAAGCCCTCCAACAGCGAGTCTGCATGGCACCTGACTTCACCTGCTGCACTACCTGACCGGACTCAACGCTGTTTGTGTCCGTCAGGAAACACGCTGTTAACAAACAGTTCCGTGGAAACATTCATTGAAAAACTGAGCTGAACAAGAGCTATTTAATATTTTCATACAGATGTTAACAACTTGATGGGTTACCTCGTATTTGTTCAAACTTAGGATCATTTACTCATGTCTTGTCTAGAAAACGGTAAAAGTTGTGTACATTTACATAGACTTTTGCTTTTGAGTTTTATTTTTCTTATTTTCAATCCAAGAGATGCTGATTTGAAACCATTGTTACAAAAATTATGGCATTTCCTGTTGGTGCCTGAGAGAGGGGAGTTCGTCCCAAAGCTTGCCGCTGTATTTACTCCCTCCATCTGAAAGAAGGGAGCCTCATTCAGCTGCGAGTGTGACTACAGCCGGAGTCCACTCCATCACGGAGGGGGAGTGGGTAGGGTGTGGTTTGGAATTGGACCAAAATCTCCATCCGCCTGCTACTGTGTGTTTGTTGCATTAAAACAATAAAAAATGCTGAACTGTTTGAATAAAAGGCAACATTTTAAATATAAAACGTATTTATAAAAAGTAAGATGCAAACAAGAATGACAACTATTAAGTAGTGATTTACTGTATCTCACTGATGTCATCTATAGCAGTGGTTCTCAAATGGGGGTACGCGGACCCCTAGGGGTACGTTGGAGCACTGCAGGGGGTACGTGAGATTTATTTAATGTTAATGAAAAAATATATATAAATATACCAATTTTAGGAAAAGTAACGAAGTTTGAGCAGTGTGGGTTTTATATTAATAGACTAGAGTTTCACATATTTCAAAACTCGAAGTGTAATAACTGCAGGTGCCTCCCTGTCAGAATGACAAAGATCCTCAGTGAAGCACAAGCCCATGTTTCTCACTACATTGTAAGTACGACTTATTAAAAAGATCAGTTCAATGGAACTAATGTCGTCTTAGTGTTATTGCATTGCCATGAATTTAGTGGTGGATTGTAAACATTTGAAATGTAGCATTTAAGTGTTTCTTAGTTACAAGGTTGTTTTAATAAATCAGACACTGATGGTGCAAGGCTGTACTGTACCTCTTTATATAGTCATTTTCCCCCTAACAAATAGTTTTTGCGCTGATCAGGGGGTACTTGGCTGAATTTTCTTTTCAAAGGGGGTACATTATTGAAAAAAGTTCGAGAATCACTGATCTATAGTATCTAAAGTGGCAACGGTTAGTGAATCACAATGAGATGTGTATGAGATATTTTAGTCGGAGCAGAAGTGTAGACAGACAGTAAAACATTACCATCTATCAAGCCATGCAAAATGTGTCTATATAAGTCTAAGAGAGGAAAGAGGACAGAGAGACGTACCCTGGTCTTGGAGAGTTTGAACTCTTTGACGTAGTTGAAGACTATCGCAGAGAACGGAGTGATGCCCTTCAGAAAGGGTTTCCCATATACCACGATCCTGAAAAAACACAATCAGAAAATAATATAGAATAAGTAAGCTAAAAGAAAACATTATTAAACATTCAAAAAACATCCAGAATTATAGCAAAACGTCCCTTAAATGTGCCTTTATTATCTCCCCCTTCCCCTCTCTGCTACATTGAACTTATTCTGTTTTAAAATGTAAAGCATTTTGGGCGGCATGTCTTGAAGGCAGGAAAGTTGCATTTCATATACTTTTTTATTCATTGACTCATGTTATCGATACATGTACTTTGTTTAAAATACATCCTTAGTGTAAGCCTTAAAACGAAAGCAGTTATTTTGAGAACGTTTATGTTTTTGTACTTCTTCACTTGACTGTGTCTCACACGCACATTTACTCACACACAGACCTACCTGTCATAAGCACAGTTAGTGTGCTCCCCGACGGTGGTGTCCACTTTGTCTCGGATCAGCCAGGAGAAACCGGCCCGAGTGAAGAGTCGGATGTCTTTCTTGTTCGTTCGGGTCATATAGGCACAGCTGGCATGGAAATTTCCCAGGAACATCACATTCTATACCAAACACAAACAAAATGTGATACTTAAAGAGGACATATTTTGCTCATTTTCAGGTTCATATTCATATTTAGTGTCTCTACTGTGACAGGTCTTCATGCTTTAATGTTCAGAAAGGTCTTTGTTACAAAACAAAATATTCATATCATTGTTGTAAGTTTGCTTAAGTGAGGTTGTTTGATATACAGTAGGATGTTTCATTTTATTTCACAGATATTGTCAGCTCTGTGTTGTCACCTAGTGGTGAGTGTGTTCTTCATTTCATTTAAAGGGCCCTATCATTTTCAGGTGTATATCAGTATGTAGTGTCTCTACTTTAAAGAGTCCTCTCCTGCTGATGTTCAGGTGTATATCAGTGTGTAGTGTCTCTACTTTAAAGAGTCCTCCCCTGCTGATGTTCAGGTGTATATCAGTATGTATTGTCTCTACTTTAAAGAGTCCTCTCCTGCTGATGTTCAGGTGTATATCAGTATGTAGTGTCTCTACTTTAAAGAGTCCTCTCCTGCTGATGTTCAGGTGTATATCAGTATGTATTGTCTCTACTTTAAAGAGTCCTCTCCTGCTGATGTTCAGGTGTATATCAGTATGTAGTGTCTCTACTTTAAAGAGTCCTCTCCTGCTGATGTCCAGGTGTATATCAGTATGTAGTGTCTCTACTTTAAAGAGTCCTCTCCTGCTGATGTTCAGGTGTATATCAGTATGTAGTGTCTCTACTTTAAAGAGTCCTCTCCTGCTGATGTTCAGGTGTATATCAGTATGTAGTGTCTCTACTTTAAAGAGTCCTCTCCTGCTGATGTTCAGGTGTATATCAGTGTGTAGTGTCTCTACTTTAAAGAGTCCTCCCCTGCTGATGTTCAGGTGTATATCAGTATGTATTGTCTCTACTTTAAAGAGTCCTCTCCTGCTGATGTTCAGGTGTATATCAGTATGTAGTGTCTCTACTTTAAAGAGTCCTCTCCTGCTGATGTTCAGGTGTATATCAGTATGTATTGTCTCTACTTTAAAGAGTCCTCTCCTGCTGATGTTCAGGTGTATATCAGTATGTAGTGTCTCTACTTTAAAGAGTCCTCTCCTGCTGATGTCCAGGTGTATATCAGTATGTAGTGTCTCTACTTTAAAGAGTCCTCTCCTGCTGATGTTCAGGTGTATATCAGTATGTAGTGTCTTTACTTTAAAGAGTCCTCTCCTGCTGATGTCCAGGTGTATATCAGTATGTAGTGTCTCTACTTTAAAGAGTCCTCTCCTGCTGATGTTCAGGTGTATATCAGTATGTAGTCTCTACTTTAAAGAGTCCTCTCCTGATGATGTTCAGGTGTATATCAGTATGTAGTGTCTCTACTTTAAAGAGTCCTCTCCTGCTGATGTCCAGGTGTATATCAGTATGTAGTGTCTCTACTTTAAAGAGTCCTCTCCTGCTGATGTTCAGGTGTATATCAATATGTAGTGTCTCTACTTTAAAGAGTCCTCTCTTGCTGATGTTCAGGTGTATATCAGTATGTAGTGTCTCTACATGTCTCCATGCTTTAATGTTCAAAAAGCTCTTTATTTTTCTCATACTGCCTGTGCTGCAGCACCTCTTTTCACCCTCTGTCTGAAACCAGAGCCCAGTCTGCTCTGATTGGTTAGCTGGCCGGCTCTGTTGTGATTGGTCAACCTCTTAGAGATGTCCTGCCCCTTAGCCTATCACGTACAATGTGTTGGAGCGCTAGCCAATAGGAGCACGAGTTTTCCATAGTGATGTCCGTGAGTTAGGTTCCTGATGTAAATAAAGGAGTCCAATGGAGGCGTTCCAGGCAGGGAGTTTGTGGGAGAGAAACTCCCTCCGAAGGGAACTTTATCCTTTGCAGACCATTTACATGCACACAAACCTATAGAACACACTACAGGAGAGGGAAAACCCCAAAAAGAATAACAGGGCCCCTTCAAACAAGTCCAAGTTGTTTCCAGCTTACAGCTATAGCTAACATCACATCAATGTATCTAATATATTCCAATGACTTGTATATAGACTATTCTTGCACTATTTATATTCTATTTGTATTTACCTGCACTATTTTATCTGTTGTATTGTGTTGCACTGTTGGAGGAGCCTGTGACCTAAGATTTTCATTGACATAACTACACTGTAGCTTTGCACACATGACAATAAAAGCCTTGAATCTTCATTGATGTTTACAAGCATTCTCTTCATAGTCTGACATGGTTCGATCATACAAAATCCCATCTCCTCACCGTGTTGTTCCATTTCTTGCGGACTTCCTCAAAGACGTCGTATAGTCGGTCGATCTCCTGAACAGCCTTACTGGGATCAGTGTGCAGTGGAACCAAAACAAACTTCTTGATTGCTGCAGGACAAAAACAATGGGAAGGGGAAAAGGGGATTTGAAAATATACTAAGTAATAAACAAATGTGTGATTCTGGATTCAATCCGTACATTATGATGCGAAATGTCAGTGTATTTTGCCAATGACTGCTGATTTCCTCTGTTCTTATTTCATTTTCGCTCAGTATTTTTGACTCTTCCTGAGTTTTGTTCCCCTTGAACAAAACAAACCCTATATATAAAAAAATCTATTTCACATAAAAGCATGAATCATTCAAGCTTGGAGAGTAGTCATCTCAAACTTGGACTGGATTGATATAATTATTCGTCGCAGAGGATTACAAACCTTTGAATTATATTATGAATTATTTAGTTCCACACCACGTACTAAAGCTGTCAAATAACTAGATTTGTTGGAAAACATTTTTTTTTAAGTTTCATGTCCACTGACCGGTTTTATCGCTTTGGAACTGAACGGCATACGGCGCTCTGACAAAGGCATTTTTCTTCTCGTACTGATGCTTCCCTGTCACATTCACCATGCCTGACCTTAATGTAGAAAAGAAAAGAAGAAGAAGAACAAGAAGTATGATTTGTCAGACGAGGAACAAGACTGATCTGAATCCGTTTTATCATTTTCTTTATATTTGACATATATCAGTCTCGCAGACACACTGAAAGGATCGTATAAGATGTCTTTGCATCATCTTTAAGTCAATTTCATTTGTGTAATACATCCCACCAACATGTTCCCATGGCTTGTTCACTTTCAAAAAAAAAGATGTCTTAAGGATGTCACTATAGGAGAAAGGTCGTACTCAATACCAAACATACCAATGTCTATACCAGGATAACAAACTGAATAATATAATCAATAAACGTTATTTCTTTACCATTTGCATACCGTTTTCTTTAGAAAGTCATGATGATTCCCACTCTAAAATCTATTTTCTATTATAACTGTATTTATTCAAGTTCTGCCAAATCACTTTTACAACATGTCATTAAATTCATCATTGTAAAATTAATTAATGAATTATTACTGGAAAGAGCTTGAAAAGTGCAAAACTGTCATCAGCTTACGGTAACTAGCCCTACCAAATTCAATATGGATTTGTTGGTCGCACTGAAGCAATATAAAAGCGGAAACAAGTACATTTACCAGGACATGTTGAAGCTTTAGTTTACTGTGTCCCAAACACAATTACGTCTGAAGCCCTTGCAATACTTCTACGATACCTTCGCTACTGATGAAAAACGAGTATAGACATGTTTTTTTCAAATATCGGCATCAACTTGAAACCAAACAATTGGTTCTCGTGACAAACCATGAATCTCCACCACAGATTTTGGACACATGGTTATTAACCTCAAACTTGTTACCCAAGTTAAATAGAGTAAGTAAGTTAGCATTTTACCACTTCCGATTCCTTCGACAAAAAATCATAAATCGAATCGATAGATTTATGATTCGAATTATAAAAGTAGGGTAGACATGTGGAGATTGTCCGAATGAACAAAACGTGATCCGTCTCTTCAATGTGTGTCAACCACAGACCTTATTTCGAGCTATTTTCCAAAATCCTATGGAGAAATTGCATTGGTTTATGTTGAAGGAACCGGAAGGAGTTTACTTCCGGGTTTTAGGATTTTAGGATTAGGATACACTGTGGCACTCTATAGTCAACACAATTAAGTAGATTTTTTGTTTTGCGTGGGACACAAACAAGTGTATTCAGGGTTTTTTTTTGTGATCGTTTTTTTATCCCAGAGCTTATTGTGTCACAGTCAGATCATTGATCCCACTTTAGACGATTTCTATCACACGTTCCACTTATTTCTTTGTGATGTGCTTCAGTCAAGGTTAGTAAGAGGTTGACTATGACTCAAATCTTAATATTGACAAGCTTAAGCTTCACAGCAGAAACCTTTAGAAGATTTAAAATACCTAAAGTAGAACAAATTAAGGGAAAGTGTTATATGCACTTGCTGTCATAGCTCAAAGAAATATGTATTAAAAGAACCGTTCAAAACCTTTTTCTCTGTTTCAATTAATCCAAACTTTATCCCTACCGTAATGTTTATTGTACTACCTCATTGGATTTTGGAGCATATGCTATGAACCTCTTATATTTCTATGGATCGGTTTTTAACAATGTTCCCAAATTGGGATCAATAAAGTACTTCTCCATCCATCTATCTATCCATCCATCTATCTATCCATCCATCTATCTATCTATCCATCCATCTATACATCTATCCATAGAAGTTTGTTTTTATGATATCGTTTTTTCATTTCTTCCTTTTTTTTATTGAAATCGAGGCGAAACAAGCAGTGTACAGGTGTGGTTTTAACCTGAACTTGGTCTTACCTGTAGATGAAAACATACTGCTGCATGTCGGCGGGAGAGTTTCCATGACTCTTACTGGATACCTCCTTGTATTTGTGATTTTCATACCTTGTTACAACAGAGACAAAAATAAACTATTAATGACAAAAATCAACAAAGACAGCAGTCAATATATGCACAAATGACAGGGCTCAGATTTTGGTGAGAAAGAACCAAAACCTCCATTCTGAACACAAGCCCACAGGGGTTTGGACATTTTTAATAGATGTCAACATGCTATTTGACTTTGATTGACTTAATCAAATCAATCAAAACCAATAAAAAAACTCCTAAAATCAGATAGTATTGTGCTTGTGTGTATGTGTGGACCATGCAGAACATAAACCATTTCCTACATATCCTACTATTCATTTCACATTTCAACATATTAAGAATACTCAGTTTTGCAGGCACAAAAACATATAATCTAAACAAACCAAACTCCTGATTTAAGATCAGCTGATACTGAAGGCAAGGGCAGCAACTCATGATAATATCGCTTTCACCAGCTGCTCTTCAACTCAATGGGTTAACAAGCAACACTTAGAGCAAATATTGTACTTTTTAGAAGAAGGAGAAGTTTAAAAGATTCAACTTATTGTCATTACGTAGTACAGGTACTATGTAACAAAACGGGTTCTCTGCATTTGACCCATCCTAGTGTTAGGAGCAGTGGGCTGCCATTATGTACGGCCCCCGGGGAGCAGTGTAGGGGACGGTGCCTTGCTCAGGGACACCTCGGTAGCACTTGGTCTTTCCGGGACTTGAACTGGTCACCTTCCAGTTGCCAAGCCAAGTCCCTATGGACTTCGCCACCACCGCCCGTCTATCCATCCATCTATTTTTGGATAGATGGATTTTAGCGCACAAGATAAGAATTTAAAATACAACAAAGTGTTCGATTGTTATTGGTCGCAATCTGTGAGATCTTGCAAACAAATGCTTGTAATAATGGGGAACACCAAATGTTCTAGTTGGGTCTATGAAATGCATTCAGATCCAGAAAGAAACATTTCTCCTCTTAACTTCCCACATGGTTTCAATTAAATATTCTAATACTCCATAAAGTGTGATACAATTTAGAGGCATGTGACTCCTTTGTTGATAAACCATTGGACTAAACTACATAAATGTGAAAGAGACATTTCACTGAGTTGAGTAACTGTATCTTATAACACTGCTGTACTTATACTTCAGTAGGATTTTTTTAATGCAGAACTTGTACTTTTACATCAATATATATGTTCTCTTTGTTTGACAAGAGGTTTCCCACAGATCCACACATGCACAACAACCTCGCTTTAGACGGTTTACAGTAAAATATATAGAAATCATGCTTTTTATCCCAAGTTGATTCATGGTTTATAGCCTCATAATTGTCCCAGGGAAACCAACAGACTTGCATTTGTCGATTAAAAAAGCCAATTAGCTAAAGCAATTCAATTATTCACCAACAATTTTTAGACGGATACGGACACAAAATCATAGTTCCCCGTTAGCCATCACCAGAAAGAAAGCAGCCGATTTTTAAGTAAAGCCTTGTTCCAGATATATACTTTGGGTTTAATTGGCTAATTTCAAAGGTGGAGCAAAACATTGGTGTACATACCAACCTTTATTGAAAATATACTAACTTAAATTTCAGTGAAACAAGTTTATTTTTGGATATTTTGAAGTGTGACTTGTAGTGGTTTGATAATTGACAGCCAGCGAGTTATCCTCAATATCAATACTTGGGTATTCTACTCTTACTCTTGCATTTGATGTATTTGTACTGCTATAGTTGTAATTTTCATTTACTCAAGTGAGGGACTGCGGATGGAAAGTAGCTCAAAGCTAAATCCGTTATATTTACACTTGGCACATTTCATGTTTTAAGTGTTCATTAATGTGCAATGTCCCTGCCAAATAAACGAATAAATAAATATCCACAGTATGATTTACATTTTAGATTATAATTAAATTCAAAAGTGATCTGCAAACACCAAACAATTCTTTCTAACAACTGTAACTAAACTTAATTTGCCAAGTTATAAAATAGTTGATTATTTTAAAAACCACATCATCTGACTTTCCTGTATATGGTGTCCCACATGGCTTAGTATTGGGTCCACTACTTTTTGGTCATCGTACAGCAGTCACATTTTCAAGAACGTATGATTATATATCGCCAGTGACATTGAAATCTACGTTCAGTTGACGCGGGACAAATTATGCACAATTCATCGAGCTATCAGTGTTCACAGTCCTTTTTTTGGAAATGTGCTCCTAGATGTTTTGTTATAATGGAATAAAACTGATTAAACTCCCTGGGATTTTTGACAACACAGTAACTCTAATGTCTTCGAATAAATTAAGGCAATTGTGTGAATAGTAGGTGAAGTAAAATGTATATTATAATGCTTTTTGACTGAATCAAGCCGAAAAAACATGCATCTGATTTGAATACATTCCAATTTAACCCTTTGATATAGTCAGGTGTAACACTTTATTTTGGTAAATCTACTCAGTTGACTCAACAAAAGCATACGTCGTTATGTAGGTCTGCGGCCTGTTTAGCCTAGCTTAGCACAAACACTGAAAGAAGGGGGAAACTGCTAGCCTTTCACAATCAAAATATTCAAATGTTGTATCTTGTTTGCTATCAAGCTAGTCAGGTCCTGTAGTTAGCTGGGTTTAATAGACAGAGTTATAAACAACAAGCACGGTTTTGTTCAGTTCTGCAAAGTTATCTACACTCACTGCATCAATATAAAATTATGCTGGTTTAAAACACAATGTCTCCTTTTCACATTTCTTTGAATATAATGTTTAATAAACCAAAAGTAAACCGGTGACATTCCAGGTACTTGGAAGGTGAATGTGCTAACTATTGATTTAGCTTGAGGTTTGCAGAGGTGTAAAGTAACTTAGTACATTTACTCAAGTACTGTACTTCAGCAACATTTTGAGATACTTGTACTTTACTTGAGTATGTCCATGTTATGCTACGTTGTACTTCCATTACAATTCAGAGGTAAATAGTGTACTTTTACTCCACTACATAAATGTTGTACCTTGAGTTACGATGATGATGTGAAATATAACCAAGTGTTGAATCAGACTTTAGTTCCACCTGGAGTAAATCCACCAGCTACCCTGCAGTCTACAAAGTCATTCAAACTAGCTGCACCTTTACCAGCTTTGAGAACACTTTCATGATCAATCATTATAAAACATATCATATATATTATTCTGAAATGGACCAATCTGCACAACGACTACTTTTACTGTCTTTACTTTCACTATATTTTGATGAGAATACTTTTCTACTTTTACTTAAGGAACATTTTGAATGCAGGACTTTTACTGTAACAGAGTATTCCTACACTCTGGTACTTCTACTTTAACTCAAGTACAAGATCTGAGTACTTCTACTTTTACTCAAGTTCAAGATCTGAGTACTTCTACTTTTACTCAAGTACAAGATCTGAGTACTTCTCCCGCATCTTTAGGTTTGCAGTTTGCATCATATTTGTGTTAAGCTAGGCTTGTCTGTGTCTTTGAAGCAGTTCCTTTAACCTTAAGGTTCAACAGGCACATCAATAATGCTTTAAAATCATGATTATTCAATGTGCCAGACCATATTTTTGTTGATAAACCTACAAATTCAGAGACTTTTCTTCCAGTGGAAACAGATTTAGTTGACAGTCAGCTTGTTGCAAATGTACCTTAACGTCAACTATCCAAAATAAAGTGTTAAACATAACAGGATTAGGATTAGTAATTAGATGAAGTTCTACATGCTCATAAATCCACTGTACCTTTGAGTGGCCCTGTTGGAGGCAGACAGCAGACACACAACGATCACCACGTTGATGTGGTTAAAGTTGTGTTAGTATTCCTCAATGAGTGCATTTTTCAGTCCTTCAGTTTAGTAGGTGATGTTTTGTCAACATTCAAAAATAATTACAGAGATTTTTACATTTGATGCTGTACTGTATGCGAAATCACTTTTAACAGCTTTTGTCGTGAATAGAGAAACAATTTATTATATAACACAATATTTTGTGCTTTCATCTGTTCTCTGAACCTTGACTTTTTCTTGAGTTGAAATAAAATATATTACTCAATGCACATTAGTCTAATTTCTCTCAAATCGTGTGCGGAAATTTCAAATCTGTTGCCCTGGTCATGTGAAATGTTAATGTTTAAATAATCCGTTCATCTGTTTAACTCTGAACTAGAGTTTAGTAACAATTAATAAAAAAAAATAAACATGAATCCTTATAAAAGTGTGTAATCATAAGGCGCTTTCACACCAAGGGTCTTTCTCAATGTCGAGGAAAGCTGCTCCAGAGCCACTATTTCAAGGATACTACGTCATTGAGTCCCGCCGAAGGACTGTTCCAATGTCCAGCATACTTGGAATTCTACTGAGGCCGTGGTACTGCGTTGCGGGAAATTTCGAGGATGCACATGTGTAGACTCCGCGGTCTTAAAATCTCCACAATGCTTTGCGCTTGGACCCATTTCCAAATCTTTGGCGGAAATCACGCTCCATTTAAGGCGGGGCCTCGCATATGACGTACACCTCTTAGCCTGTTCCACAATTCTTCATTTTCCGAGGCTATAGGCTGCTTGCCTCGCTTCTGAAGCAACTGACTCGGAGGTACATGTGCTACCAAGCAAGCCTCCTCGACATTGAGAAACACCCCAAGTAATTTTCCCAGGAATAGTTCCCGGAACTTAGTTACCCGGAAATCTTTAGTTCCGGAACTATCCAGTAGATCGCGTTCACACCGGAACAAGTCCCTGAGGGAAGATTACGCAAAGGAAGCCGCTGACGTCACTTCTTATTCTTCTTCTGCTTTGGGTTTACTGGCAGGCAGCAAACAACTTCACGGCGTATACTGCCACCCGAAGTCCCCGGAGTTGGGGACTTCAGTAGAAGCTGCTGGGAAGACTCCTAGCAGCTTCTACTGAAGCCTTTCGAGTAAATCGCCAGAAGCGCCGACACCTCCTCATCACTCCACCGCTCCCATGTTTTATTTTTTGTTGCCATAAGTTAGTCTCTCTCCATTGGTGCGCTGGGCTAATGCTAATAATGCTAATGCGAGCAAATAAAATGGCGGCTTCACGAAACTTTTCTGAGTTTTAGCGGCCGTGGTTTGCAATCCGCCCAGCCAATCAGAAATTGGAACCTTTTCCTCCCCAGGAAAGTACCACCTCTCTAGCGGGGACTGAAAAGGGGCGAAAAGGTTCCCGAACGCAAAATCTCAGGAACTATCGGAACTATTCCTGGGAAAAGTACTCCGGTGTGAAAGCGCCTATAGAAACTGCTACTGACCAACAAATGGGATATTTCAAAACCTGACATCCAAATCGTGTTGTCAATTATAGTTTATAAGTGTATAAAATATCAGTAAATCATTGAGTCATTAAAACATGTAATACAAGGTGCTTTATGACTTAATTTGCCACTGCCTCTAGCAAGTGTTTTTTGTTGCTTGTTGCTAGTAAAAATTAGGCAATATTTCACAGACAAAATAAAAACGTTAAGGCTTTGTGCTCCTTCCTACAAACTAGAGAGTGAAGCACAGTGACCTGCTTCACTAATATTCTCCTTACCTGTTTACAGAAATTAGAAGCTTTTGAATGGCTTTACCATCAGGATCCTTCACCCCCTGCAGGAGACAGATATCACAGCGAGCCACAACCTGCAGACAGAAATACACATACAATTTAAAACATTAGACCACAGGTTATGCATTAGTTCAGTAAAAAGGTCCATGAGATTTGAAAGTACCTGTATTTACTGTAGCTCATACATCACAGATAATATTTAATCATTGTTTTAGTTAATAAAATATGTATTGTGCCAGTTTATTTTGACAGCATGGTAATGATGTAATAGAGCAGGACTTAAAATCAATAATATGGCAAACATTGGGAACAGGATGTTTCAGCTTTTCAGAAAATGGTGTGTGTGCCTCTGTGTGTGTGTGTGTGTGTGTGTGTGTGTGTGTGTGTGTGTGTGTGTGTGTGTGTGTGTGTGTGTGTCTATCTGTCTGTCTGTCTGTGCATGTGGCCTAGCATTACTATCCTTGTGGGGACCTAAATCTGTTTACATAGTCATGTGTGGGGACTCGCCTCCCTTATGGGGACATAATGGAATCATTAATTTTAGGGTGAAGACTTGGTTAGGGTTAGGTTATAGAAGAGCATCGGGCTCTGGAGGAGCCCTGCGTGGTGCACTGGCTCTTGGTAGGTTAGGGTTAGGCATATGTTGGTTATGGTTAAAGTTAGGATAAGACTCCAGGAAATGCATGTAAGTCAATGTAATGTCCCCTGAAGTGATGTATACATGGTGTGTGTGTGTGTGTGTGTCAGGGTTTCCGTTAGCCGGTAATTACCGGTTTTTAGCTGGTAACATTTATTAAAAACCGGTCAATTCAAAACCTGCCGGTCAAAATGTCTGGTAATAATTAGGGAGGCTCCGATAGATCGGCCGCCGGTCATTATCGGCCGATATTCACTCTTAATAGTTTGATCGGTATTCTCTATAAAGGACGATCAGGAGAGCTGGATCTGATCGATATGGACATAAACGCGAGTGAAATATAACCGGACACGAGAGAGAGATCAGATCAGCTGCTGAGTCTGACAGAGACACGCAGCTCTGCATAATCACCTGAAGCCCCGCCCTCTGTTTAGCGAGCTGCATGAGAAACTGAAGGGCTGTCAGAGAGAGAGGGAGGGAGAGGGGAAAAGAGAGCATCCGTTTCTCTCGTGTTATTATTCAAAGTTGATGTAAACTTTTGAATAATGTACTTCATCTACTACAAGTAGTTTGTTTGAATGTAATAATTATGTTGTTTGTTGTTTGTGGAATCATTTATTGGAAAATTAATCTGAATTTTTCGATCTGTTACGATTATAAACTGAAGCAATATAAAAACGAGCCCCATTAACTGAGTTTTAAACATCAGCATATCTGCTCCGGTAATTACCTACTAACGGAAACTCTGCTACACAACTCTTATTATTATTAGTGAAATATGACCGGTAAGTTTCAAATTTGTCCGATAAAATTAATTCTGCCCGGACATTTGACCGGCGAGAAAAAATCCTAGCGGAAACCCTGGTGTGTGTGTGTGTCCTACCCGTGTCAGAGTGTGTAGAACACTTCTTTGTGATGCTTTGGCCAAGTTGAAGTTGTCCACATTGTAGGCACAGATCCTGAATCCTGAATCTCCGTCCACCAGCAGGGAGAGGAGCAAGAGAAGGAGAGGAAGGGGAAGGAAGCGCCACCTCATGGTCAGACTGGGGAGGGAAAACAACACATAATCTCATTGATGTGAGGATAAAATAAAACAATGAAATAAGGTATGCTGAGTTTTGTCTTTTTGTTTAGCTATATGAAGTCATAAAGTTGATCTGAAATCAGGCTCAAACAACAGAGGGTGTCGTATGCAGTGTAGATTGTAAAGCCCCTTTAGGCAAAATGGTCAGTTATGATATTGATATGATACTTTTATGCAAATGTCCCCTCTGTGGGACTAATAAAGGTATTCTGATTCTGATTATTGTTAGATTGAGTATGTCATTTTTATTGCATCACCGTAGCTTCCTTGGCAACAACAACCAAAGACAGTGGCACTGGTCTCCTGCTCTCTCCCAAATGGAGCTTTTCCCTCTTCAAGCTACCTAACTTCACTCCTTCCACCTTTGAATTCCATGCCGTCACAGTAACCCATCCTATACAATTAACCATTGTTGTTCTCTACCATCCACCAGGCGCCTTGGGGGACTTATTGGAGGAATTAGATCATCTCCTCTCACACATCCCTGAAACTGGCCCTCCCGCTGTACTTCAAGGAGACTTCAACCTCCAGACAGGGAAGATATCTGAACTAACATCTCTTTTAACCGCCTTTGCTTTCTCACTGTCTCCGTCCCCACCGACTCATACAGCTGGCAATGTCCTTGATCTCATATTCTCAAGGAACTGCTCTACTTCTAACCTCTCTGTAAACCCGCTCCACACATCCGATCACTTCTTCATTTCATTCTCTCTACCCCTTTCCAAACATAACAAACTAATCTCTTCTCATCCTGCACCTGTCCGCCGTAACCTTCGTTCCCTCTCCCCCTCTACCTTTGCCTCATCGGTGCTCTCAGCCCTCCCTTCCTCTGACTCGTTCCAACTTCTGCCTCCAAACTCTGCTGCAGAAACTCTCCTCTCTACTCTCTCATCCTCTCTGGACTCTCTCTATCCTCTCACATCTCGGCAGGCTTGTCAGTCCCCTCCTGCTCCATGGCTAAATGACGCACTGCGGGCTAATAGAACCATCCTTCAGGCAGCAGAGCGGAAACGGTGGAAATCCAAACACCATGACGACCTCCTAACCTATCAGGCTCTCCTCTCCTCTTTCTCAGGCAAAAAGCACTTTCTTTCAAGATAAGATCCAATCTTCCTATTCCAATCCCAAAAAACTATTTTCCATCTTCTCCTCCCTCCTTGAACCCCCCAAAGCCCCCTCCCCCTCCTCCCTTCTGTCAAGCGACTTTGTTAACCACTTTGAAAAAAAGGCTGATGATATTCGCTCTTATTTTTCTAACTCACCGCTGGGTCACCAAACCCACCGCTCACCCACACACTGACCTCCACACACTGACCTCCTTTTCCCCTCTCTCTCCATGTGAGGTTCTTACCCTCATTACCTCTTCCCGCCCTACCATCTGTCCTCTGGACCCTATCCCCTCAAACCTCCTTCAGACTATCGCTCCTGATATTCTACCGTTTCTCACCCATTTCATCAACACTTCTAGTCACTTTCCAAACAGTCTTAAGGAGGCAAAAGTAAACCCTCTTCTAAAGAAACCCACTCTCAACCTGTCTGATATAAACTACAGGCCTGTCTCTCTCCTCCCGTTCCTGTCTAAAACAACTCTCCTGTTATCTCCATCAGAACAACCTTCTGGATCCGCACCAGTCTGGTTTCAAGGCAGGTCACTCAACAGAAACTTCCCTCCTTGCCGTCTCTGAGGAACTGCACACGGCTAAAGCAGCCTCCCTCTCCTCTGTCATCATCCTTTTGGACCCGTCTGCTGCATTCGACACGGTGAACCATCAGATCCTCCTTCGCACTCTCCAAGAACTTGGAGTTTCAGGCTCTGCACTTTCCCTCCTCACCTCATACCTCAAAGACCGCACCTACAGGGTAACTTGGAGAGGGTCCGAGTCCGACCCTTGTCAATTAACTACAGGGGTCCCTCAGGGCTCTGTTCTTGGTCCCCTCCTCTTCTCCTTGTACACAAACTTGCTCGGATCAGTCATTAGCCCGCATGGTTTTTCATACCACTGCTACGCTGACGACACCCAATTAATTCTGTCCTTTCCCCGCTCAGAGACCCAGGTCATCGCACGCATCTCTGCTTGTCTAGCTGACATCTCTCAGTGGATGTCTGCTCACCACCTCAAGCTAAACCTTGACAAGACTGAACTACTTTTCCTTCCGGGAAAAGATTGTCCCACTCTTGACCTAACAATCAACATGGGCCCCTCTGTTGTTTCCCCGACTCAGACTGCAAGGAATCTGGGTGTGACCCTAGATAACAACCTGTCCTACACTGCAAACATCGCTGCTACAACCCGCTGCTGCAGATACACGCTTTACAACATCAGGAGGATACGTCCCCAGCTGACCCAGAAAGCGACGCAGGTTCTGGTCCAGGCTCTCGTCATCTCACGCCTAGACTACTGCAACTCCCTCCTGGCTGGTCTACCTGCATGTGCCATCCGACCTCTGCAGCTCATCCAGAATGCAGCGGATCGTCTGGTCTTCAACCTTCCTAAATTCTCCCACACCACTCCGCTCCTCCGCTCCCTTCACTGGCTTCCAGTAACTGCTAGAATCCACTTCAAGACAATGGTACTTGCGTACCATGCTGTGAATGGATCTGGCCCTTCCTACATCCAGGACATGGTTAAACTGTACACCCCAGCACGTGCACTCTGCATCAGCCAAACAACTAGCTCGCTGCACCCGCACTGCGAGGGGGACCCAAATTCCCATCAGCAAAAACACGTGGGTTTGCTATCCTGGCTCCAAAATGGTGGAATGAGCTCCCCATTGAAATCAGAACAGCAGATAGCTTACACATCTTCCGGGGGAGACTGAAAACTCATCTCTTTCGACTCCACTTCGATCGATAGAATTACTAACAAAGAATTGCTAACAAAGCACTTATATACTAATAAAGGACTGGCTTATCTAAAGCCAGTTGAGTAGCACTTGAAATATTTTGGCTCTATGAAACCTGATGTACTTATATGATTCTGTTTTCTTCAAGGTTGTATCTTGTTGGTCGAATGCACTTATTGTAAGTCGCTTTGGATAAAAGCGTCAGCTAAATGCAATGTAATGTAAAAAAAGACAAATATTAAAGACACAAAATAAGGAAACAGACATTTGAAAAACATCACAATCACTGAAGAGAAAAACCTTAATTTGAGGATTGATTGGTGTGCCAAAGAGTGCTTCAGTCTAAATGTACAACATCGTGGGACCTTTCATTTATAGTCACTGTTGTTGGCCAGCTTCAATATGTTATGGAGGCTAAGTCATAGGCCGTTTCTCAATCTTGAGGATACTGGCTCCCAAGCCAATATTTCAAGGATGCTACGTCATCAAGTGGCGCAGCAGGACCGTTCCAATGTCCAGCATACTTGGAATTCCACCGAGGCCGCGTCCTTGGTTTGGGGGAAATTTCGAGGCTTCACATGGGTAGACTTTGCTTCCTTAAAATCCCCACAATGCTTTGCGCACGGACCAATTTCAAAAACCCTTGCAGAGAATTGCTGAACCGACGCAGCACACATTTAACACTAGAACTGCCAACGGGGTCAATTTCACCCAGAGCTGTTTTTTATTGTATGTAACTTTTTTTCAATAACATATTAAAGTCTCCCAGTCGGTGACTTTTCCTGAAAGTGTGTTATGTAGCACCCTATGTTGTTAAAAATTGTCAATATGAAGTCAGATTGAAGAAATCGGCAAAAGAAGTCATTTATACCTATTTCCGCCAAGCGAATTGACCCCACCCCTTTTCGCGCTATTGATTTTGCGTGTAAACAAACATGACGTGTTGCTATAGCAACGCCTTTTGTCTACTGCAGTTCCTTATATATTGAGAGATAGATTGAGAGAGAGAGAGAGATAGATTGATAGCGACAGACTGTAGTGAAGGAGCGCGCTCCCGCTCACGGGAGACTGCTTGCGCTGTACTCCGCAGCAAACAGCTGTTTGCTTTTCACCCAACAACGACAACCGCCTCACGAAACCCTATGTTGTAGCGTTAATAAACGAAACAATTTAACAAAATTGCTTGTCAAAATACCAATACCACAGGACCATCTTTCTTTTTAAAGCAATACTTTTACTTTGAAAATCAATGCATTCTAATGCTGGGTCAGTTTGACCCTGGTGGCGGTTTTAGGTATAAATAAATCTCTGGCGGTTCTAGTGTTACATATAAGTATGTAGTGGCGTAGAACATGTGTTGGTAAATATGTTACTTTGTTACATTTGTTATCACCAAAAAGGTGTTCCGTGAAAGTAAAGCTAGTTCATAATTAGATAGACATCGTGAGGTATTTATTTTCGGTACAGTTTATGTTGAAACCGTTAGAGAGAGTGGCACACTTGTTAGCCTGTTCCATTCTTCTTCGTTTTCCGAAGCCGTGGATTGGAAGCATACTTGCTTTGTTTCTGAAGGAAGTGACTTGGAAGTACGCGACTACCAAGCCAGCATCCTCAAGATTGAGAAACAGCCATAGAGTCTCTCAAAAAGTTGACCTACAATCTTCGAGCAGATTTACAACTGAGTTTTGACTTTAAAAGCGGTACACAAACACTTAGTTTTGCATTACTGTAGAACACAGAGTCCCAGATGTAAAAAAACAGAAGAAGAAAAAGAAGACCTATGCTGGACAAAATGTGCTACATAAATAAACCTGAATGTCTATAGAAAGTTATCAGTGAGACAACGTTTTTTTAATGCCAGGTCGGAATCAATGAAGTAAAAATAAAATTGATAAATAACAACAAATAAATACCATACATTTGCTATTGTACACCTACCCACAAACAATATTGGCATAATGTAAAATGATTGTGTCAGGTGGGGCAAGGGTAGAAATGATAGCAGTTATGAATTACTTTGCCTGTTCTCATTTAACTTATGCACACACCAATGTTCTAACATTTCTTATTATCAGACATGCTGGCCTCCATTTTGATTTCTTGAATATTTATGAAAAAACGTCAATAACAGAGACAACAGTAGAAGACTGTATGGTTTCTATATTTGAATATAATGTGTTTTTCTTAATATAAATAAAACCTAAAACAAATGAAAAATTGCAGATGTAGATGCACAATTTATATTTCTTCTTGCTAACCTGAACTCCTTGAGCTGTCATTTAAACCGGTTTACTATCGCAATTACATCGATTTGACAAATGACAAATTATAAAAAAGGAATTTAAGTGGAGGGGCCTTGATTATATATATTGTTTTTTTTTTACAGAAATTAAACTATATATAGCCATGCACATCACAGTGAAGTGAAACCAAATGTGACAGTGCGGTGAGACAGCGACTCTTCCCTTGACTCTTCCCTCTTTTACACAAAGAGGAAGCAGCGTGTGGGTGGAAAAGCACTTTTAAACTGTGAGAAAGAAATGTCAAAAGAAATGAAAGAAACAATGAACAACATGACTGCAGGAGAGTTTTCCCAACCAAGAAACACAGCAGGAATGTTGGTGAACTTTGGCAGCATTTCTCATTTCCACAGTAGAAACTGAGTGTAAATATGTGACAGGTTTAGTGGTTAAACTGGTCTGAAGGAGGAGTGAGAGCCTGTTCAGACCTGAGGCGGGGGGGCGACAGTCACCTGCTAATCTCCTATTTATATATGTTTGTATTGGCAGCTACAAAGACAGATAACTAAATACTGTTAATTATTATTACATCCACACTGAGCTTAGACAGGGAGTCTCATGCATCTTCATATCTCAATACATTAGTATCCATGTGAGCTTGAAGCCGTTTGGTTTGTATCACATGATGCATCATCTCAACATCATTGTAAATCATAGCTTGCTATTAAATCAATAAATACAATAATTGTCAACCAAGGTCTCTTTTAAAAAGGGTAAAGGGGATTTACACATGCAGTGAAATCAGATGGAAGAGTTTGGAGAACTGAAATCAAAGTGTTTTTGTCATTTGATGTGAAGTGCATACTGCATTAAACCCACTGTTGTAGATAAAACCCCACATTTTAAATCACACGAATACGCATTTAAAAAGGGAAGAGGCCCAGCTGTGTCAGATCTTTAAGCACCACACATAAAGTTATGCATCGAAACAGTCTATTCTGAATTCAGTGCACTTACTCTTTGCAGTCAGGTAAGTCACAGGCATCCATCAGACGTCTGTGCAGAACTTAAAGACGTGAGGAAACAACAACCATCGCTGTTTTTATTGTTGACACCTGAAGCTCACACTGATCTTCGTCTTACTGTTGTCCTGCTGTTATCTACACAAACAGGGAGGTGACAGACAGCACACGTTTTCCTGCAGACTACAGCATTAAACAACAACCCTACACTAATGCTGAATGAATGCTGATCCGACACAGTTTGGCCTCTCTCCTGCAACTGCCTATTCACTATGTCAAGTCATAGAGAAAAGATGTTACTGTGAGTTTACGGCATTAAGCACTTCCTCTGTAAACATTGGGATTTCAGTGAGAAGTGCAAAAACAACTCTAAATCCTCCTTCTGATCTCAGTGTGCATCTGTTAGTCTCTCTTAAATTACATTATTAACCTTCAGTCTATCTGTGAGAACTTGCATCCACCAATTCCACAAATAAAGTAATATTATTAAACAGAACAAACAAAAATTAAAAAGCAATTGCAGTCTGTGGTGGAATGGTTGGATTTCTATTTAGTAGTAAACAGTTGTTTAATCCGTCCATAGTGAGTCAGTTGTGACTGTTGCAGCCCCTCCCAGGAGGTGGTGGGACCAGAAGAGCAGCTTCTGCACAAACACTCCCTACACACACACACACACACACACACACACACACACACACACACACACACACACACACACACACACACACACACACACACACACACACACACACACACACACACACACACACACACACACACACACACACACACACACACACACACACACACACACACACACCACACACACACACACACACACACACACACACACACACACACACACACACACACACACACACACACACACACACCACACACCACACACACACACACACACACACACACCACACACACCACACACACACACACACACACACACACACACACACACCACACACACACACACACACACACCACACACACCCACACACACACACACACACACACACACACACACACAAAATATTGTCAGTCTTTTATAAAATCTGTGAGTGTGTTGTGTCACAAGTCAAAGGCAACTTCATTGTCAATCTTCCAGTTTGTGTGTGTACAGACAGAGAGATCGAAATACTGTTTCCCACGATCCCGTATAAAACCTTTGTGCAAATAAGTATATATATATATATATATATATATATATATATATATATATATACACACACTTTTGATTTTATAAAGACTGTGACAATATTTTGTGTGCAAATTTCAGAAATGTGTCTTTGATTGCATGTGCAATCTGATATTAAAAAGTTCCCCTATTCTACTGTTTTTCATCAATATATCACAGGTCTCAGATATATCCAGAACCTGTCTCTGATTGGCTGAAATACCAAACAGATCATTGCAGCATTACCCATAATCCCCTCTGTTTCAGCCCTGTTTCCAAAGTGCTGATTCTTTGTCTGTTACTTTAGATGAAAATAAGGAGCCCCTCCCCACGCCCCTTTGAGAGAGATTTGGTTACAAAGAACACATTGGTGCTCTTGTACCTCATTCACACCAACGCAACTCTGGTTCAAGCTCCGTGCTAGAGCTTTTCAGGTTCAGAACCGGTTCTTCGGTTTAGCTCCGGCTCTTTCCACACTGCCCAGAGTCCGACTGGTGCTGCGTCATTGCGTCATCGTTTGCGTCATGACGTAACCGTTTGCGTGCCTGCTTCATAAAGCCCAACCGCTCGGAAACCCCCCCACAGCTGACACCGACAACAACAACAATGGCCGATTGTGCTCCAGCTTCCTCTGTGCCTATTCGGAAGACCAGATTCCCAGTAGGTAGCTGGTCTCTTCAGTGGACCACTGCTGCTTGTTAAGTTTCTCCATCGTTGTGTACAAACTGGATAAAAAAGCGGTGCTTTTGCTCTAGCCGGACCATTTTTTGGTGCTCGAAATGAACCGGATTCCGGAGCTAAGAGGCTGCTCCGCTGCGGTGTGAACAGGAAAACCCGGTGCTTCCGAACCGGCCCTGAAACATTGTTGGTGTGAATGAGGTATAGGAGGAGATTCAGGTGATAAGGGGGGGGGGGGGGGTACCTTGGTTGGTGATTGGCTAATGGCTACACAAGCCAAAAAATCGTTATGACATCATAAAGTGGCCAAAATCTGATCAGCTCATTTTCAGACAGGTTTTTATAGAAATGGATCAAAAAGAGAGAGAATCTTTGTTCCTGAAACTTTCAGAGTCTCTTTCCACAGAGGGGACATATGTTGATGTAGAAGAGACATGAAGAAGAGGGGACACATGTTGATGTAGAAGAGACATGAAGAAGAGGGGACACATGTTGATGTAGAAGAGACATGAAGAAGAGGGGACACATGTTGATGTAGAAGAGACATGGAGAAGAGGGGACACATGTTGATGTAGAAGAGACATGGAGAAGAGGGGACACATGTTGATGTAGAAGAGACATGAAGAAGAGGGGACACATGTTGATGTAGAAGAGACATGAAGAAGAGGGGACACATGTTGATGTAGAAGAGACATGGAGAAGAGGGGACACATGTTGATGTAGAAGAGACATGAAGAAGAGGGGACACATGTTGATGTAGAAGAGACATGAAGAAGAGGGGACACATGTTGATGTAGAAGAGACATGGAAAAGTGGATTTTGCATAATAGGTGACCTTTTAAAGAAAATATATATTTTACATTTATATTAAATCTAATATTCCATTCCTCACACACTTAATGTATATATTATATCCTGCTTTATATTTTGTTACTGTAAATTTGAATGTCAACATGTATATGTTCTACTTTGTTAATGCTATTGTATTTCTATTTGAGATGTTTACATTTTGGAATGTTTATTTCTAGTCTTTTATTTTCTCTAATGTACGATGCCTTGTCTTTTTATGCTGCAACGCGAACATTTCCCAAAATGGGATCAATAAAGTACTTCTTATGTTATCTTATCTTAATCTTGGGATTGCTGTTAGCAATGAAAGGTGCTTTATAAAATCGAATTTATTATTATTATTATTATTATTATTATTATTATCTTATAAAACACATGCTATCACACCTAGACACAGTTTTATATATTAACATTAAACAACGATTACAGCTAGATTAAATGGAGCACCATGTACTCGTAGACTAGTTAGGGTTGAATCAATTTAAATGTCAATCAAAAACAAATTGATATTTAAAAAAAATTATAATTGTGATGATTTTATTTTTAGTTGCCCAGTTTTATTACCTTATACTAATAAAATAAATCCAACAGTTTAACTTATATATTTATTTGAAGCAAAAATGCAGGACCAACACAACTGCACGCATCAATAACAATAATTTAAATATAATTAAGACAATACATCTAGTAAGTCATTTTGGATAATGTGGTTTGTGGTGTTATTCAATTCAATTTAGAGTCAATATATTGATTTAGTAGATCAATAGAAGAACAATCGGCACCTAATATTGATAATGAATGAATAGTTGTTTGTGTACAGAAAGGTGGAAAATGCCATTTAAACCTCTGTAGGAGATGTCCTTATTTTCTCACTTTCATATCACATTGCATTTAATATCTTTGTGTTTCTGACAGAAGACATCTCTGAAAGACTCGACCTTGGACTTTCAGAAACAAGGAGGGACATTTTCACTATTTTATAACATTTTAAAACCATACAATGAATCTAGAATATAATCATTTCATTTGTTGCAACACAGATGAAATGATGCGTGTAAACTGTTGAGGCAAAACAGGTAATATGATATCACTATCACTGCTCGAGCAACCTGACATCCTGTCAACAATGAGCTCTCAGATGTTTCAGATCACAGAACAAACAAACAACAATGACGGAGGAACATTTCAAAAGAAGCTAAGCAACAAAAACACGTTTCCCCTTTTTGGTTTCCCGATCTCCTGATTTGTGTTTTAAGAATAAGACACAAAAAGGGGAATGTATGTACATGTAGGCCAAAGGCAAACCCTAATGTTCAAAGGAAGCATTAAGACAGGGGTGTCCAAACTACGGCTCGGGGCCCAAATGCGGCCCGCGGACCATTTTGAATCGGCCGTCAGCAAATAAAAAAAGTATAATGTAATACGGTCCACAAATGAAACTTGTCTTATATTGCACTTCTTCAGTATACATGTAAGAATATATTACAAAGTAGTATTCACGTGGTAATAAGACCACTTCTCAAATAAATTCAGTCAATTGGAATTCAGTTGGAAACATCTTCTAACATATCTTATGGCGCGTTTCCACTGCAGCGGGTAGCCCCGTTTAAGCGTCCTTAACCGTCCTCAAGCGGCCAGGCCGGTTTTTGGTGGCGTTTCCATATAGCCTAGTACCGGCCAGCGGGTACTTTTTCCCTCTTTTTCCGGCCTCATAAAATCGTGGTTCCCTCAGACCAGGGCCAGGGCTGAACTAGTGACGTCAACACTCTCGACTGCTGATTGGTCAGAGAGAATCGTCACAAGATTGCGCGCGAGTTCATCCCTAGCGTCGCATATATATCTAGAAGCAAGCTTGCAGCATTTTTATACACAGCATTTTGTAAACGGAAGAGCTACAAAAATGGCTACTTCTAAGAAAAGCACACCGTGGTCGACCGAGGAGGTGACGACGTTCCTTCATCTCATTGGGGATGATAAAATCCAGCGGGAGCTCGACGGAACAACTCGAAATGTGAAGCCGATTGCCCCGCCTACACTGCGTTGCTAGCCCAGGTCCTAAACTGTAATGGAAATGCGCCACGGCCTGGGCCGGCCAGCGAGGCAGCCCGAGGCCAGAGCGAGGACGCTTAGGGACGCTTAAACGGGGCTACCCCGCTGCAGTGGAAACGCACCATTAGTTGATAAGACAAAAGCCCAATGACTTATTTACAAGCTTGAAATACACCCTTCCTATTTCTCCTGATTATAATCAATCTGAGCTTCTGTGTTAAGGGATGAGCTGCCAACACTCACAAGCATCATTTACCTACATGTGATTGATTTTGCTGACTTATACCTGAACTTATGAGGCGATATACCTCTAGTGAGTGGCCCAGCCCTTCGTATATTTTTCTGTATGAGGCCCTCCGTGAAAAGAGTTTGGACACCACTGGGTTAAGAGAACGAGGGTAGGAGGGGGCAGGGCCAGCTCAGTTAAAAACATGCGGCTGTGCTGGAAAGTCAACACGATTTTTTATAAAACCCCATCAAATTGAAAATATACACCCTGTTTGAGCAGGAAACACAGAAGTAGGCTTCAAAGAGCAGATTTACTGAGGCTTGAAGCCTTTTCACTAAGTAGAGTTTTGAACTATGTGAGCCGGTCACCAATTAACATGGGAACT